TATACATATATATATATATATATATATATATATATATATTAGTGGACATTGAAATTAACACTCAAAGTGACAGTCTGTTTCATGGCAAATGCTGCACTCATGCCTTGAAGTGTTTAAGCATAATACAGACTGTCACTGGGTCTTGACTTCAATGTCCGCTTTTGTATTTGCATAAGGACTATACCTGATACTGGACACTTTAACTCATAAATGTTGCATACCTTAAAACTATATTTTATCATATATATATATATATATATATATATATATATATATATATATATATATATATAGATACCCTAGTGAGCCAGACAAACCTACCTAGGTTTCACCTAAACGATCGTCAGGAAATTACTTTCCCTGACGATCCGTTTAGGTGAAACCTAAAGGTTTGTCTGGCTCACTAGGTGTATCTAGGTCTGCTCTACGGTTGTATTGAGCTCTTTTGTTAGTTGTTACTCGTATCGGGGTTTTTTCTTTGGGCTTCAGACCTGCATCTGTGCGATTTTTTTGTCGGCAGAAGTTCATGTTTGTAGCACTTTCTTTTTTTAAAACCTTTTTTTCCCTCGAGATTGGTTTGATTAGCAAATCAAAAATTCGAGGGTTTTTCGAAACGAGTCTAGTTATCTATATTTATATGTATATAGATAGATAGATATATAGATAGATAGATATGGAGGCACGGTGGGGCTTGGATTTGCTCAATTTCCAATCAAATCCATGGATGGCAATTGGTCCAGAAGGACAACAATGAATTTAAAACTTGCGGAGGGTCGTTTGGGGGAAAATCTCATGTGCTGGTGTCGGGCCTTCAGTTTCCTAGGAACTGATCTGCTTGACCCTCATACGGCGAATTCGACGGGAGATTCAGTATATATATATATATATATATATATATATATATATATATATATATATATATATATATATATATATATATAAATAATGATATATAATTTTTATATATCAAGAACAATGTTAGGGTAAAGATGTATGAAAAATAGAAAAAATTCAGTAACGTTTTCATCCTTTAAGACTTCATCGGAGTAACTTAATCCGATCAAGTGATAAAGGGCGAATTCATTTTTATTTTATTGTGTCTACTTATTTCGATGCAGGTCCTTTTTAATTATCTAAGAAACTGATTAGACAACTGTAAACAGACAGAATAAAAATAAATAGACACAATATGTTTATATTATTCAATGAAACATGTTCGAATGAATTTAATATGCTGCTTAAATATAAGTGGTAAATTTTTGGTAGACGGGGAATTGAATACTCATTTGTAATTCATTGAGTCTAAAAGAATCCTCAACAGGATTCAGATAGCACTGGATCGCCATTCCATCCCATCTGGGACTATATCATCCTTGCGCATCCACTACTAAGAATCGAAACCAAACCGTCACAATACAACGCGAGCGTCATGTCACTGAATCAACGGGCCTCAGTGACGAAGAAGAAACGGACTAGACACGATATAGAGTCGCTACTCACTAAATTCCGTCGTGATACTCATTCAAGTATAAGAAACCCAACGGACTGTGCCCCAAGAGCCAAGCTGAGGTTTTTTCTTTGGATTCTGGACGATTGTTTTCGTCTCAATTACATGTTTGCATAGTTATTTTACCTTGAGTTTTTGGTTTGTTCAATTACAATCCAAAACACCTAAGGTTTTTCCAGACAAGTATAATTACTTATATTTATAAGATTATATATATATATATATATATATATATATATATATATATATATACGTGTGTGTGTGTAAAAGTCAGTAGGAAAACTGTAATATAAGCCGACGCGTTTCGTCCAATGTGGACTTTTTCAATGCAAAAACGAAATAAGTTTATTAAAACAAAGTAACTTATAATAACAAAACAAAATGGAAGACTTTAGAAAACGCTATTATATTCATATTGTCAACTGAAAATTACGTCAGGTATTGTCACGTGTGGAAATATTTTACTAAATTCTTCCAGTTCCTATTGTCTTTTAGATTCATAAATATTGTCTTTTTTCTACAAGTTAACTCTGATATATATATATATATATATATATATATATTATAATATTTTTTTGTTTAAAAAATTTAGGAACCTAGGTTTCCTAAATTTTCGCTTGAAGATGAAACGGGACTAAACACCTTAATTCAACTTAATCTTAATAATTACTTGGATGGTTTCGGCTCTCGTTTTTGAAACATGAGAACTCTTATGTAGCGAAGGAATCGTATTTTTAAACAAAAAAATATTATAATATAAGCAGTGTCTTCTTAAAAATAAAAATACTAAGGAACTCCGGATTATGCACCCAACGTGTTCTTTTCAATTTTCTGCATACCTGCTTTTTATATATATATATATATATATATATATATATATATATATATATATATCGGAATGTAATGAGAACGAAAATAATATATAAATTCTAACGTTCACAGAATTAATTCAAAAGAAGACTCAATACCAAGAGTAGAGCAAACATTATTTATTTTAATTTTTCAAATAGACAAAATGAATTTTACTCACTACAAAGATGCAACTTCGTTTCGCTGCATTTAGCTGCTAAGAATCAAAAATGGATAAGTATTTTTGGTTCTCACCAAACGAGATGTAACTAAATGCACTGAAACAAGGTTGCATCTTTGTAGTGAGTAAACCTTTTTCGTCTTTATGAAAAAATTATAATACGTATATATAATCGACTCTCCCTTCGAATTCGACGTATGAGGGTCTAGCAGATCAATTTCAAGGAAACCGACAATCCAACAACAGCACATGAGATTTGATTATAATGGTGAAGGTTTCGTGAAGGGACGAATACAGAGGCCGCGTGCACTAAGTGCCACAAGGTCCCCAAACGATTCTTCGCAGGTTTTAGACCAGTTGCCATCCATAGCTATAGAACCCAGTCAGTCCTGTTATTTACCCATAGCTTGGGGGAGAAGAAGAGGATTCACACCTTTCGCAAGGCTATTAGCATGAATGTAACAGACTGGAATTCGAACTCGGCTCTCCGATTCCTCAATCCAAGCCGCTATCCATTATCCCACAATGCCTCCTCATAAATATATAATGAAATTCTTCAGGCTAATTGCAGTTTTGATTGTTTCATTCGTGTGCGTGAAAGCATGGCAAGGGTGGAAATATAAAACACACACTAGTCTCAGTTTTGACTAAAAGGGAAACCATTTGATTAAAACGTAAATGTGTTGAACGTTCATTAATTTCGGAATCCTGTGCGGCAAATTTATGCGCACCATCTTACATCGTATCTCCTATCAAATTACCACTAATACAATGTGGTTTAATTAAAAATAATAATCTAAAAAATAAAACTACAAAAGAAATGGATAAAAGAAACAGAATGAGATTGGAAACTAGATAACTATGGCGTCACCATTGATATTGAAATTGAAAGACGAACATACTTTTTCCCTTTTGTGTCCATTATTAAAGAAACAATATGAGAATTTTCACTTTTGTCATTCACTTATTCGCTATTGAACTGATATATATATATATATATATATATATATATATATATATATAATTATTTATTTAAAATTATAACATAAATATATTTATAAAATCACTACAAAATAATTTTGTTTCAACACCTTCGAACAAAATGAAACAAAATGGCTATTTTTGTAGTGATTTTATAACATATTTATGTTATAATTTTTAAATAAATAATTATATCTGCTCTACTCTGATTTGAGCACTCTTTTAAGAATAGTAATTTTTTGTTATTGGAATTTATTCTGTATACACCAATCATATACTTGGATATATATATATATATATATATATATATATATATATATATATATATATATATATATATATATATGTAGAAAATAGGAAAGAACACGTTATATATATATATATATATATATGTAGAAAATAGGAAAGAACACGTTAGGTAAATAATCCGGGTTTTTTAGTATTTTGGTTTTTATTTTTTTTTAAAGTGCTCCATACAGAAGTAGAGCTTAAATTATAATTATTTTTAAAAAATATGATTCCTTCGCTACATAATGGTTCTCATGTTTCAAAAACGAGAGCCATAAATCTAAATATAATTATTAAAATTAAATTGAATTAAAGTACCAAACCCTGTTTCACCCTCAAGCGAGAATTTAGGAATTTTAGAAATTTAGGTTATTCCTTAATTTTCGCTTGAGGATGAAACAGGGCTTAATACTTTAATTCAATTTTGGCACCTCAGCGTGGTGTAATGGTTAACAAGCTTGTCTTGCTAGGTCAGCTACTGAAAAGTGAATTCGATCCTCACTGGTTGCCCCATGCTTTCGGCCTTGTGCCACATCTAAGCTTCCCTTGGAAAATCTTTAGGGACACCTCGAGGTGGTGTAATGGTTAGCAAGCTTGTCTCGCTAAAACTATTATGACTGAGTAGTGAGTTCGATCCTCACTGGGTGCCCCATAATTTCGGCCTTGTGCCACATCTAAGCTACGCTTGGAAAATCTTTACTTTAATTCAATTTAATTTCAGTCATTATATTGAGGTTTTTGGCTCTTGTTTTTGAAACGTGAGAACTCTTATGTAGCGAAGGAATCATACTTAAAAATAATTATAATATATATATCTAAATATTCAGGCATGTCTGATGAACAATTTAGACATGTTATGTTTGTTTATTTTCAATAATATTCTGTCGTAATCACATATAAGCTTTGTTGTTTCATGAGAGCAAGGAAGGTACCATGGTTGGATTTATTAATTTCTGTTTTTCCGAGTATTTTCGATATAGTTCACCACCATCTTCAGGTTGTAAAAATTTTAATGTAAGGGAGATAACTGAACTGAATTCTAGTTAGAACGTTGTAGTGTGCTTGTTTCTAAAAAAAAACTGTTTAGATTAAACATAGTTATAACTATATACATTTCAGAACATTTGGACAATATTCATAATTAATTCATATTCATAATTAATTTTGTTAAGTGCTGGTTTTAATTTTTTCCTTATTTTCGTGGTGTAGTATATTAGTGTTTACAAGTATTTTTATGTGTTGTGAAGGTGGACAGGAATTTTTTTCAGTCAGTTATCTGCCATGCGTGGCACACGCTTAAGCGATCATGTATCTTTCGATACATGAACTTTTCGATATATGACTGACGAGGCCGATTTTTTTCCCGCAGTAGTTTGCCATTATTTTCTGCGGTAGACCAATTGCCATCCAAGGTTATAGAACACATAGTCTGTCCTGCTATTTAATCATAGCTGGGGTGAGAAGAAGTAGTTTCATACCTTTCCCAAGGGTATTAGTAATGGATTCGACAGGAATTAGAACTCGGCTCTCCGATTCCTCAGTCCGAGCCTCTCTCGATGATATCGTAATTCCTTCAATAGAACGGATATATATATATATAAATTCTAAAGCAAATATAACAGAGAACGTTCATGCGTGTATTTTAAAATCACCATCAGAATGGAATGCAGATTTTATCGCAGTTACAATACGTTTGTCTTTGTAATTTATCCCTGAAGATGATCTGGGAAAAATATCGAAAGTACTTGGGTGAAAAAAACTAAGAAAAGCCATGTCAGGTCAATGAGAATACGACTGAAGTCGAGATGGTAAGTCAGGATCGATCCCATTAAAGACACTTCGCTGGATTTTATCAAAATAGATATTGTATAATGTTATGATGCAACCTCTCGACAGACGCTTACAATTTAAGCAACTGACGATAGTTTCCATCAAAGCCCAGGTAGATCGCAAGAAACTTTTAGGTTCACGGTTTTAATAGAATGTAAAAAAAATAGGTAAACTTACATTATCTGTGACTCTATCCTCAGGATATTGAGCTATATAGCCTTGGCTGGTAAATTGTCGAGGTGACAGATATCATCAAAACCAAAGCATTAAGCTAAAAACTCAAGGCATGTCTATTGATATTTTAGTCATGTAGATGGATTGATATGGACGCCAGACATGGCACAAAACACTTTCAGAAATATCAGCTGTATACAATCGCCTTCTAAGGTTAATGTGTAAAAATGGCGATGAAGCCTGTGGATCTTGGTAAAACAATCCTCTTTTAAACATTATAGACTGGCGCTACGCAATCACAAAGAAGTGTGCTAGATAATAGAAACTACATCACTTGAGGATTACCAACAACAACGACCGACAACGAAAATGGATAGGATTACGTACCTCGAACCATAATCCAGATGTTTAAATTCTACACCAAATATTAGGTTAGGAAGGAAAATCCCATCAGTACGGGAAAGAGCGACAAAAGCTGCTGGATATTAGAAATCTATTTTCCTGAGCAATTGATTTAACAGAAAGATCTTATAAATTTCAACCGATAACAACACTGGCTGCTCGGTCAATGAATGACGAATGTTTCGTTGCAGGGAGACGCTTAATATTATTATTAGACATGAGAACAGATACTACTCTTTGATCCCATTCCGATGGCCACGGAGTGAAAAAAAGCGTAACGAGTAATGAATGCCGAATGTTTCATTATAAGGAAATGGCTAATATTACCATTAGAGATAAGGAGAACAGATACTACACTTTGATCCCAGCCCGATGGCCAGGGAGTGAAGAAAAGCGTAAAGAGTAGCACTGGCTGCTCGGTCAATGGATGCCAAATGTTTCATTATAAGGAAACGGCTAATATTACCATTAGAGATGAGGAGAACAGATACTACACTTTGATCCCAGCCTGATGGCCAGGGAGTGAAGAAAAGCATAAAAGTGTAGCACTGGCTGTTCGGACAATCAATGCCAAATGTTTAATTATAAGGAAACGGCTAATATTACCATTAGCATTAGAGATGAGGAGAACAGATACTACACTTTGATCCCAGCCCGATGGTCAGGGAGTGAAGAAAAGCATAACGGGTAGCTCTGGATGTTCGGTCAATGAAAATCATAAACAGTTGTTTCAGGCTAGATTTGATTGATTTTTTTTCTTCTATGTGCCGATTCCTTTCAGGACGTTTGCGATCATGTATCTCTACAACTTCCTATCCATTGTTTCACTTAATAAGGTTTCTCGTTTCACATTTCCCCCTAGTCTTAGGTATGACGATAAACTACATCCTGCAGCAAGGCTTCTGATGTGGTGATTGGAGCTTTTGAAGAGCATGGGACCACCTCTTAATTGCTCGGTCAATGAATGCCGATGGTATTACCAAAATGGACGTTATTCCCTCCAAGTGTTCTTTGTTCAAGCACTGACCTTCCACTTCCAATGTTCAGTTAGAACCCATGTCTGTACATGGCTCGTCCCAAACTACATTAATGGATCTTCTGGGGATGTTGATAGTAGTGGGCTATTCTTTGCTTCTGAGGAAACTTTACTTAATGTATTGCTTAACTTTTGGAAGGCCTCTTGGGTTACCTTCGTGAATTGATTTCAGCGCATCACCACCAGGGTGAGATCTAAGACATGCATCTCTGTTACCAATGGCCAAAGATATTACGAAAAACATGTGGCCATGTCCTGTGTTTGGTCTTCGTAAACGTTCAGCAAGTGTCGTTCAAAATCAATTTGAGCAATTTTGCCTGCATTACGGATTTCACTACCCCCCACATATATCTATATATATGTGTGTGTGTGTGTGTGTATGTGTGGCCTAACTTCTAATGTGACAGAAAAAGGTTCGCCTATTCAGTGGAAAGTATTCATTTGAAAGAAACGAACATGAGCAATGACTCAAATAGAAACGTGTGGTGCTGTATCCTGTGACATTGTGTCATCAGAAACACTTTGAATAGACGGTGACAAATACCAGATGTTCACGTAAATCTGTCATTGAATCTGTCTATCTAAGAAGGTTGCTATGAAATAGAAACCTGCTTGCTATTTTTTATACATCTCAGTCTGTTAATATTTATCGGTCTATAGGTTTCTTTCGATCTATCTATCTATCTATCTATCTATCTGTCAGTATGTTTCAATCACATTCTATTATTATCTATCTCAGTATGTTTCTATCTCTCTCTCTCTGTTACAATCTATCCATCTATATCTGTCTGTTTCTATCTATCAGTATGTTTCTCTCTTTCTCTGTATCTATCTATCTATCTATCTATCTATCTATCTATCTATCTATCTATCTACCTATCAAATCTATCTTACTCTTCATATCTATCTATCTATCTATCTATCTATCTATCTATCTCAGTCTGGTCGTATCTATCTATTTCAATCTGTTCATTATATATTATATACCTCTTTCTCTCTCTCTCTCTCTCTCTCCCTATATATATATATATATATATATATATATATATATATATATATATATATATTTATATATATATATATATATATGTGTGTGTGTGTGTGTGTATGCATTTATCAATCTATATCAGTCTGTTCATTATCCATCTATATATCTATGCCTATATCTATGTAAGACAATTTATCTCTATCTATCTATCTATCTATCTATCTATCTATCTATCTATCTATCTATCTATCTATCTATCTATCTATATTTGTCTGTTTCTATCTATCAGTATGTTTCTATCTCTCTCTCTCTCTCTCTCTCTCTCTCTCTCTCTATCTATCTATCTATCTATCTATCTATCAGTATGTTTCAATCCCACGCTATTATTATCTATCTCAGTATGTTTATATCACTCTCTCTCTCTCTGTCTCAATGTTACTATCAGTCTCTCTATCTTTCTGTCTATATCTATCTGTTGCTATCTATCAGTATGTTTCTATCTCTCTCTCTCTCTTACTATCTCTGTATCTATCTATCTCAGTATGTTTCTATCTCTCTCTCCTTCTTACTATTTATCTTAGTTTATTTCTATCACTCTCTCTCTCTTATGATCTATCTATCTATCTATCTATCTATCTATCTATCTATCTATCTATCTATCTATCTATCTCAGTATGTTTCCCTCTATATATTTATCTATCTACTAGTCGAGGTACCCGGCTTTGCCCGTCTGTACATGGCTGCAATTGTATAACCGCGGCCCCCTGTATACCCAGACACTCTGTCTAGAAATGTCTGCCTGCGTTCCCGCTTGCAGGCATCATCTGTTGGTATACTAAGGTCCATCCCTCTCATCTTTTTTGTGGTATCACAGTCTCAAGAGTTTGATTTTTCTTATTAAAAGAAATTCCTTTGAAAAAACCTTCTTGCGCGATCATTACTTGGGGTTAAATTGTTTCAATGTTTTAGATAGTTAGTAAATTTCCTACGGCCGTAATAACTTTCAAATAGTATTGATCACAAATCTAACAAGCAAAAACAGAGATTAAGGATCAGAGCATGATTCAGTTGTAAGAGCAAACACATGCCTTCCCCATTCTTTGCACGTTTACTGCAAATCCGGGGTTAATAAAAGTTTATTTGGGAAATTTTCCTTTTTAACGCTTCAATAATTCATCTCAAGCTACCTTTGCATCAAAGGTTGTTCGAATGCCAATTTAAGATGGAATCATATAAAGAAACTATTGGCTAAACGGCAGAAGCCGATTTTTCACCTAGTTTGTCACAGATTTCGTCCAATCGGATAAAAATGAGGAAGTTATTCATGTTTTCATTTTAAGTAGTACGAAAACCCTATTTTTTCACAGTTTTTTGCAGTTTTTTGTGTGAAGCCAATATCACAGGAAAGCTATCATACACTCTACATAAAACTCGTAATATGAGCTGTTTTGCATTAAGTGCAAAAAACATCAACTCATCCAGTAAAAATGGTAATTTTGCCTTGGTTTTTGCAAAAAGTCGTACCCACCTTCAGTTTCATCGATTTTTCTGCCAAACTAGCAGATTGAAAAGTGTTCTTGATCTATCATGGTAAATTTGCAACATGTGTGTACATAGCATACATACACACAGATATCTTCTGTTTATAGATATAGATGTATCTATCAGTTTGTTTTATCTATGTTGATATCTATCTATCTATCTATCTATCTATCGCATTGTTTTTATGTATCAATTTACCTCTCAGTCTGTTTATATCTATAAATACATTTATCTATCTATCTATATGTCTCTCCTTCTGCCTATGAATGTATGTATGTATGTATCTATCTATCTATCTATCTATCTATCTATCTATCTCAGTCTCTCTCTATCTATCTCAGTCTCTCTCTCTCCCTATCTATGTATCCCAGCCTGATGTATGTATGTATAATTCTATCTATCTATCTATCTATCTATCTCTCTATCTATCTATCTATCTATATGTGGCTGTTCCTATCTATCTATCTATCTATCTATCTATCTATCTATCTATCTATCTATCTATCTCAACCTGTTCTTATGTATGTATGTATAATTCTATCTATCTATCTATCTATCTATCTATCTATCTATCTATCTATCGCATTGTTTTTATGTATCAATTTACCTCTCAGTCTGTTTATATCTATAAATACATTTATCTATCTATCTATATGTCTCTCCTTCTGCCTATGTATGTATGTATGTATCTATCTATCTATCTATCTATCTATCTATCTATCTATCTATCTATCTATCTATCTCAGTCTCTCTCTATCTATCTCAGTCTCTCTCTCTTTCCCTATCTATGTATCCCAGCCTGATGTATGTATGTATAATTCTATCTATCTATCTATCTATCTATCTATCTATCTATCTATCTATATGTGGCTGTTCCTATCTATCTATCTATCTATCTATCTATCTATCTATCTATCTATCTATCTATCTATCTATCTCAACCTGTTCTTATGTATGTATGTATAATTCTATCTATCTATCTATCTATCTATCTATCTATCTGTGGCTGTTCCTATCTATCTATCTATCTATCTATCTATCTATCTATCTATCTATCTATCTTCATGTCTATGTATTCATACATGAATATACGACTCTTGTGTAAATCATTTCTTTTAATTATCGACGCACCTGCCTTCGTTTCTTGATGCATTTCATGCATATGTATCTACATAAATGTGTCCCAGGTTGCATAAGGACGTACTTTTCCATGCCTATGTTCTTATGCATAATGTAATATTCAGGTGTTCATTCTGACAAGTTCCTGCAGATTATCACACACACACACACACACATAATATATATATATATATATATATATATATATATATATATATATATTTATATGAATATCATTATTCAACATTACTTTAGTTGATACCCATATTCGTTAATATAGACCTGTTCTAGACTGTTCATATATATATATATATATATATATATATATATATATATATATATATATATATATATATATATATATATATATATATATATATGTATAATTCTCATATGTAATGTTCTTCAACCGAATTGAATTGAGCTCTCCGGTCTACTGACGTATTTCGCATAGAAAACGTTAAAATTTCCTCAACTTGTGCAACGATAGCGTAGGGGTAGAATATCTGACTGATGTCAAATCGCTCCGGTTTCGATCTCAGTTTGAAGCTATCGCACGTCTAGTCACATTGAAGAGCTGTGATACAGAGAAACTGTCTTTCTGTGTTTGACAATATATATATATATTTAATCGGTATCAATCTATCTGAGTCTATTTCTTTCTATGCCTATAACTGTTCATCTATCTCTCTAAATATATATTTTAGCATAGAACTTCTGATTGCAAATAGAAATTTTAACATTGAAATGGTGAGACCAATCGAGACATTTACATCGATGTGCCGTGTCCATTCATGACGTCGCGATCATGGCTCTCCATTACTTCCTATCCCCTGTTGTCCTTAATAAATTTTGTGTGTTTGCTGTCTCTCCTAATCCTTGTTCTGCCCACCATTTACACAAACTCGTTAGGTAGATTTTTCGCAGTTGTCTTCTGTCTCTCTTGCCCTTAATGTCATGTGGGTGTCAAATTTTCGAAGCCTTCTTTCCTCATTATGCGTTCTAGAAATTTCAACTGTCTCTTTCTGATGGTAAATATAAGTTACCCTTTTTTAGTCCATCTATAATTCTCAAAATGTGTTGGTGTGTGTTTGTGTGTGTGTGTGTTTGTGTGCGTGTGTGTGTGTGTATGATTGTGTGTGTGTGTGTTTGTGTGTGTGTGATTGTGTATGTGTGATCGGATGTTGTTTCTGCATTTGATATTTTTTGTTTGTTTCTTCAGTGCCGGTTTTGAGTGCAAATTATTGGCGACAATGGCTCTCCACTACTTCCTGTCTATTATAACCGTCATCAACGTTTTACTATTTACTGTTCTTGGATATATATATATATATATATATATATATATATATATATACATAACGTCATCCACAGACAGACTGTTTCGCTGTTTCACAGCTCATCAGTGTGGCTAGACATATGTGTGTGTGTGTGTGTGTATATCTTTCATAAAAACTTTAATAAAATAGATAGTTTAAATTATTGCAATATTATTATTTATTATTATACTTTTCCCTTTTTATGGACACACCCATTTAAATTGTACCCCCCCCCCCTCTTCGTCTTTTGGGGATGTGCCTCAGTTGCACCTAAATGTTGTTACTAATATTGATTTTCAGGTGGGCTGACTTAAACTTAAACTGCTTCAAGTGAACGGCAAAAATTCCCAGTAATGAAAGACCCGGTCAAATGCGGGTTATACTGCTAGTTTCTAAGAAATCTTTTAAAAGACCGAAAGGATTTCTTTCCTGGAAAAATAATCTCGCCTCCGTTTCTTCTTCTTCTTCTTCTTCTTCTTCTTCCACAAATTCCAATACCTTATACCTTTAATTAAACTTTTTGCTATCTCTAAATATATATATATATATATATATATATATATATATATATATATATATATATATATATATATCAAAGTGCAGATAGAATATTACGACAGATCAATCAATGTCAGGTATTACATTTGATAGCGAACTGTTCACTCCGGCATCGAGTGTAAAATATACATAGTCGTTCCTAGTCATGGTAGATGTCTTACTTGCCCCAATGATCACAAGAGCAAAGCCGTCTGAGTTTCCAACTCCTATAGGGCTACCCATGACGCTATGGTCGAAGAGGAAGTGCTGGACTGAATTCAACCAACCCTCCGAAGACACCAACGGCGGAATAGGCAATGATCTATACGATCTTAACGTCCAAATCGACTGAAGAGGGCCCCTGCTAGTCGGGTTGGCGTAATCAAAGCGGATCTTGACAGGCCAAACGTCCGACAGCCTGACGTATCCAGGTTTGCTAGATCTCGCCTGTTATCAATCCCCTTTGAGCCGCAAGCGACTCACTTTTGGTCAAGTGTGTGGGCTGCTCCATCGCGCACAATCAAATTCACGCGAACTACCGCGTTAAACTCTCTCTTATTCACAACCATCTCTGCCAACGCATCCGTGGTGTGAGAAGGTAATATATATTTCTCATTGTGTTTATGTATCTTGTTCGTTAAACTAATTGCGGACTGGGTGATGTCAGTTCTCTCTCACAAAGAGACATCGCGCGAAAACTTAGCTACGAAGGTGTGTCTTGTGTTCATCTTCATGGCCGACGATAGCCGTGAAGATTATTGAATTATTCAGTTGCATGCAACAGGGTCTGGTCAGTTAAAACCGTAGTATAGGTTTTAATGAAATAAAATATTACCATGAACTTTTAAAAGTCTCCGTTTTCATAATAATTAATAACTAATAATTTTATATATATATATATATATATATATATATATATATATATATATATATATATATATATATAAAAGTGAACATAGATTGCATATAGCATGCGACAGTCTGTTTCGCCTCTATATGCAATCGTCAGGACGTTGCACTTTTATATTTACACACGCTATATTACTATCTCTGATATTGAGCACTTTATTCCATAAATATAGCACACCTTAAGACTATATTTCTTTATATATATATATATATATATATATATATATATATATATATATATATATATAAGAAACAGACAACTTTTGGTTCATGGCGGTTATAATTTATTTCCTTAGAATCAAAATTTGATTCCAATTTCACAGATCAACATTTTCATACAAATAAATGGGTGACAAATATTCCAAGTATAAAAATAATTCCAGTGTTATTATTTTTAATTTATGCACACATGTGTTTGAGGAGACAGGTTTAAATTGGCGGCAGGGGTGTACTCATTGAGTTTATATATCTTGTTCGTCAAACTAATTGCGGACTGGGTGATGTCATTTCTCTCTCACGAAGAGACCTCGTACTAAAACTTAGCTACAAAGGTGTGTATTGTGTTCATCTTCATGGCCGGTGATAGCCGTTAAGATTGTTGAATAATTCAGTGTCAACTGAAGTCAGAGCCAGGAGTTAATTTCCAGACTCGATGTCGAAGTCGAGTACCGGTGCATTCTTTTTGTGATACCTAGACGATGTATTGTGTTTATTTAAAGTCTCGGAATTTACGGCGAGTTGGCTGTTGTTTCAGCGAAATATAAGAATGGTCTATAATCTTTATAAAGTAATAATTTTATATTCATTGTAATATATAATAGAAATAGGTAAACGATATGTGCAGATCAGATCATAATTAATATCCATATAAATGATCGATGCTAAATAAATGAACCTAATGAATAGAGTTTGTCTTTGATTTATTACACGTCGGTATAATGGGTCTCAATCCCGTTTGAGTCGCAAGGGAGGCACTTCTGGCCAAGTCTGTGGGTTTCTCCGTCGCGCAGAGTTGTCGACCAAAATAAAATACACACGAATGGCCTCGACATCTCTGTCAGCGCCAACAGAAGGGAGAAAGGGAATAGGGATAGTTATTGACGAATTCCCAAAGTATTTGGTGATTGCTTTATTAATACGTTAACCTCACATATCTCACGACTGTCTCCAACACTTTATTTTAATATTCTCGCATACATTATTATTATGATTTCGTTTGATTCTCATTTTCTTCCGGGTCCCAAACAGAGACCTAAGTTCAGAAATAACATCATGTCATTTTCCACTGAAGAGTTTTGTAAAAAATAAAAAAAAAATAAAGGTTACAGATATTTTTCA